GACCTACTGGTCGATATTAATATTTTTGAACTGTAACTGTCTGATCGTTGAGGTATAGAAAAGTTACATTTCATTTCGTAAACAGTACCCTGGGTTTAAGATATGCTTCCCTCTAATTGGACTCTAATATTCTAAGGAGAGTTAGTAACTTTCTTTGCAATTGAAGTGAAAATGTTACTGATACCGAAAATATTACTAATGTCCAGGGAGATCGTGTTACCCCAGTCTAGGCTCGGTAGTGGTTCGTACAGTAGCGTTGGTGCTGCATCTGTCATCGCTGTGTAAACACACTGCCACCCCACCTTTCAAAATAATTGGATTAAGCGAGCAGACGAGAGAATGATGGCAAGCAGGCTAGTAGCCTACCCCGGTGCTCTATATAGAACTTAAGGTGAATTTGATTAACCATATTAACTGGACGGTTGAATATTACTGACGTAAGGAGCATCGCGCGGTCGCGTTGTTGTTGGTATAGTTCAAACAGAGTCAAGTACAGAACGGCCGTTAAAGAAGTAACGCTCGTAGGCTATTCAAACCGTTTGACCTTTGGAATGAAAACATCTGCACTACAACAGCGAACGAAGACAACGAAGGAACACGGACACAAGATAAGTAAACAAGTATATAACGTTAATTTAATTCAAATAATCGAAAGGGTAAAAAACCTATAGAAATCCAACCACATTCGGTGTCCTAGTGCTCTTGGTCTGATGACTGGCTACGCCAATAGCCATAACTGAAGGTGGTTACATACAAATCAACCTTTACTTTACCTGGAAATGAATTTGCAAAGCAGCATTGCAAAGCCATCATCCATTCTGCTCTTGTTTCTGCAAAAATGACAATGTTCTGTTTTCTTTGCTGTCCAAGAGCAGTGAGTCCATTTCCAAGATTTCTCGCTCGTGAATCAACTTGTGCAAATGTAAACCAATTATATTCTCCTCTAATCTGTTTTTTAAATACACGTCCATTTATCTGTTTTTCATCTATTTCTCTTAAAATTTCCCTTGTTCCAAGACATTTTCTAAATGCGTAGAGTTGGACTGCTCGTCTGTGGAAAAAAAATACGACTAACCTTTAGTTGATATTTTGAGAAAAGGAGAGCCAATTCACTGCAAATTATATGTCATTGTGACAGCTATCAAACCCTGAAACAAACACTCTGGGCTGACCAAAGTCAAGGCATGGCTAACTCAGATCAAATTGGCATTCAGTAGGGTGTAATAGGTTTTGCAGACGGAGGAAAACAAGAGAACGCAGAGAAAAACTATCAAATAAAGGAGACCTAGCAACTCTGCCCTCCATGTCATGCCAAGTCCTGGAATAAATCATAAGACCCCAATAGAGAAAAGCAGAGTGCACTAACACAGCAGCAACAGTAAACAATAACACTTATAGTTATCAGTATAAACAAAAGAAACTCAAATTGTGATAAAATCTTCAAAACAAACATTACATGTACAATTACTTTATTCACTTTTAATTTACATTCTTGAAATCTCTTGGGATCAAAATTCAGGAATACAACAAACTACATATAGCTGTCAGTCCAAGTCAGTTACTACTTTGAACTTGATCTTCAGCACTACTTTCGGCATATTAAGTAAAAACCACTTGAATGTGAAAATATAAGACCCCACACTTATGCAACTGTTAGTGGGCTTATGACCTTGAATGACATTATAGAGTTCTTCAAGGAAATCATGTGATGTCTAACTAAAAGCCCCCAACAGATTCTGTGTTTATGAGATATCTGTACTCTATAGTCCTGTTAGTTCCTATTTATAGGTTACTGCTGTTACTAGCAGGAAATATACCAAATATAAAAGATGATATCCATTAAGGATACAGGAAGTCAAAACATAGAAAGTGCATGGTTTTGAAACTTCTATATAGGAACTCGTGATGTCACCTGTCAACGGACCAAGATTATGTATTGAACAAAAACTTCCCAATGAATTAGGAAAAATCTATGCCTGGTCAAGTACTTGAATGAAATTTCATGATATTTTTAGTGATTGAATTTGAACTGGCATGTTTGTACACTCTTTAATAATAATAATAATTACAGTCGACATAAAAGCATGCATAATTCATATGTTCGTTCATCCATTATCAATTAATTACTAGCAGCCTTCCTTTGAACAGAAGTGACAACAGGTAAAATTTTTGTCTCAATTTTTACTCAATATGGATACTTGAAAATAAAGTAAACCCTGTAAAATGAATTGAGAAAATATTCATAAGGTTTTTATGTTAGTGTTGACAGATTTGTAGACTTTTTATGGCAGTTATAAGTAAAGTTCATGCCTGTCGTACTACTACTTGCCCGGCCAGATCAAAATAAACATAGTAAAACCCAGACTAAAACTTATGAATTTAGGAGTTATATTACAATAGTGGAGGAGTATTTGTCTGATCGTCTGTTGTTCGGTTATGAAGATTGAAAATAAACTAAAGAGAATTGAAACATTATACAAATATAAATTGAGAGATGAGTTTAGCCGTTTGTGAAAGGATTGCAAGAGAATTAAACGGACAGAAACGAGAGAAAGAGGGATTAACACACAGGAATTTATGTTGTGAAATGGTGTTAAATCGACATGAATAGAGGGGTAAAGTCCATTGATGGAATCAAATACGATCCGATCCTCTCGACCTTAGGTTGTTTGGGAAGTGCATCACATGAATGTTAAACAGGATATAAGTTAACGAGACCTTGGCTACTATACGTAGGTACGCCTTAATTCAATCCCGAATTGAAGAGATAAATTAATAACACAGACAAAAAATTAACACATAAATCTAAATTTAAAATGTAGTGTCCAAATTGTCATAAAATCTTTTGGAATTTTCTATAAATCTTGGATTTCAGTGGCAATAAAAAGGTTGCGTATTCGGTAGAGTACTATGGTGGCTTATAGCTTGACTGTTTACGTTATAGGGCAAGCTAGTGCAGGTTGAAGTGAGTCAGTGATGAGAAATACGATCATCATTTAACTTACGGGAAACAACGCAGTGGAAATCTTGTTTTTGAAATTTTGATTCTCCTTATTTTCATATTGTTATAGTTTACTTTCTTGGATGTCGCGTGCAAATCAGCATGAATTAACGGTTCAATCGTTTTACAGAGCCTAAACTTGAATCCACGTGAAATATGTGTACAAAACAGAAAGCATTTTTACTCATTCATTCAAGACCATTTTCGCCTCGTTTAATTTYCTAACCTGAAAAGTTGATCCATTGTAGTTATTCCCTTGTAAAGAGTGGTAACCAGTGCATCAAAATGCTCCACATCGCGATACGGTGCGCCGGGAACAAGACTCGTGGGTTTTCCTTGAATCTTTTGCCTTCGTACCTGGTGTTGCCTTCCTGTCAAATAGTACCATGGTAAAAAACTTACAACTCCCCAAAACCAACCGGCAATGTTCAAACTGAACAAGAACACGTTCTCCACGAGGGATCGCTCCATAGTTTTAGGTGGAAATCTTTATGGTAGAGTAACGATGAACGGCCGATTACGAGTCTTTTTATGGAGAAACGAGTACAAAGTCCACGCCAAATAACTCGTCACATTCATGTCAATCCACAAGGCACTGCGGTCGCACGTAGGAGCCTGTTTCGCTTTCAATGAAAAACAAAAGCGACCGMGAAATTTCTCAGTCGCATTTGTTTTCCATTTTAAAACCTCAGTCTTTGAGTCTCCAAATTTCCTTATGTATTTCCCAGCCTCATTCAAGCGTTTATTAATCCCAAAAATCCTAGAAATGAAAAATAAGGAAAATAGATTTCGTAAAGATTCGAGGATTGACTGACGTCACCTAATAATGACGTCATTTATGATGTACTTACTCATTTGAAATTTCGTAAGTATTTGTGAAAATGTTACTGTTTTTAATAGGCTATAGGCCAAGGAAGCATGTATTTAGTATGGAAAGCACTGATTTAGCTTATCAAGGCTATTTACTTTCGGTACAGGCTAATAAGACAGTAAAAGTTCCAAGGCCATCCCGAGGATTTGGCCAGATCAAGGGCCGTGACATGTCCAGTCCGGGCTTGATCCTGTGTCCAATTCAAGTGGAAATTGGCTTTGAATGAAAATGATGATTTGAATGGACTCAAAATTATAAATAGAAATTTAAACGGCTTATGACAAAGCTGCCATATAAGTAAGACTAATTCAGTTCCTTGCCTTTTCCTGTAAGATTGCACGAAACACGGACAAAAATTATTATAAACTGGGGAGGTGGCTGATAAAGGAAAGCTAGGATCCTGACTTCGCCATCCAATACACTGTTCTCCATAACTAACAACTTGTTGGATAAATTGGTATTAGAAGGTTGACCTCAGAAGCCTAGAGTCACTTTAGACCCAGTAGATATAGAGCCAATCGGCAACTGAGTGGGAGTGCTCTTCCAAGTTCAAAGGTAGGTGAAAAGTGTCAAGGTTATCATGGAACTCAGGAACTGATTCGTAAGGTCGACAAATCTTGCTAATCGCCTCTCTTATTCAAAGGAGCCGCGGAAATTCTATTTTCAAACCAAAAATGATTTTCTGTTGTAAGAGTTCCCAAACTTTTAGCACTGAGAGCCTCAATTAGAAATTTTTCAGAAAGGGTGGGGGCATTCCCCCGGACCCCCAGATTAGATCCCCCTCCCCCTCAATTACTAGTTCCTGATCCATCGTTGATTCTTACATATTTATGAGCACCTGAGGGGAGGAAGGGGGGGGGGGGGGGGGGTCAAAGGGGCCTAAGTAGCAACAGCCCATAATTCTATAATTCTGTTCGTATCCAGAAGCATGGTGGTGATGGTGTCAGGATGGGGAGTAAAGGGATTGCGTGTCTATAAAGAAAATTAATTGGGCCAGGTAGAGAGAGAGGATGATCGACAATTAAATCCTCTTCACTGCTCAGACAACCATGTGACAGCTTATGAGTTTATAAAGGGATTAGGCTGTTACGAAATGCTTTGGACGGTATATTTGTATAGACAGAACTGTCAATGTTTTTTGGAATGCTGCCTTCATTGATCATTGTCTAATATGACGTCACTGAATAAAATCGAGTCATTATTTTACCGAGTGATCGATGCAGTGAGGATTTCGTAACACGGTATTAGTCAATACAAAGTTGTTTTTGAATGCAAGATGCATTGACTTCTCAATGATGATATTGATACATATTTCAGTAGCTGGTCAAGAATTTGATACTATCTTAGTCTGAAGGACTAGTCTGAAGCTTTACTGGTAAATTCATCATTGTATTAGGAAATCTGACAATAAGCTTTTGACCTCTCTCATCAGTGACTTTCCAAGTTCTACCGGGAAATGCCAACGCTAACTCATTGTCTGGTCGACAAACTGAGACTTGCATAAGAACATTTCTGGTGCCTACCCAGAAGTAGAAGGCGATAATACAGATTTATTAATTTCAATATTTTTGCATTGCTGAAACCTCTATCTAGCTGGTTGAAACGTGCAGGAATTAATAACAAGGTTCAGTGTTTACATGCCAATCAACTTTGTACAAACACTCCACTTATAGATAGTGATTTCTGACTGTGGCTGACCCGCCCTATCAGGCATCGGGCTGAGTAGAATTAATTCAGCAATGCAATCATTTTCATGGAAGATTCCAGGGGAGGGGAGAGAAGGAATTGTTTTCTTACCTGAAAAGGCAAAAGAGGCTTTTAAACTTTTGCACTACTACTTCACAATAAGTTGAATAAAATTAAATAGCAAATGCTGATATTAAACCAAGATTCTCGCGCTATCGTCATGCACTTCGCATATAGCAGCGTGTCAAATTCCAGTGCAAAATTACATAGTTCAAAAGATTTATATTATATTACTGGTCGGTGAATAGAATTTCAAACAATTCAGGGAAATTCCAGACTAAAGTGGTTTGTCTTAACCCTGCTGGTACACAGTAGAGTCAAGGTTAAGGAACACTAGATCTGCCATTAGGGTATTAGTGTTTTGCTGACCTCAAGTCCAAACTGAACGACACTCTACAACCAATCACTACCCTAGGAATAAAAGATAGATAACATTCATAAAACTTCCGTAAAGATAGTGGGAATTATAAAACGACAAACACGCCAATCATTACTGAAAACATCGATCGATTTGAGATACCGTTGGAAATATATATGTTGGAAAACCGAGCCTCCTCCCTAGCTTCCCCTTCTCTAAAGCTCGCGCCGCTACAGGCTAGACTAAGCAGTGGAGTGGACGCCAGTCCTCCAACCTTTTGAACATTTCCATCAATGTTTATACTAATTAATAATGATATAAAATACGTTGAATATATCATGGAAACATGTTCGAAGCTAGAGAGCTAGCGTTTATAATTACTGGGTTGGAGGGGCTATGTGGGTTTCATAAGGGGGTCGGCCGTTTTCTCAGGTAATTCATGACGGGGAGGGGAGGGGAGTGTGCTATCGATAATATTTTTATATAGATATTTATTGTCTACTGAAAGTTTGTAGTTTTGGTGGCTCACTGAAAAATTCGTAATGCTCGAGTTGGAACAAATATCATTTCATGTCCCATGTCCCCACCCAATCATGCAATTATGAACGCTAGCTCCCTCAGTTAGGTTATGTGCGTTTTCATGGCTTCCACGTAGAAGTTTTATTTCTAAACTTCCATGGTATGAAAATATATTGGAACTTTGCCACTTCCAACATATTTCCGGCATTTAGAGGACGGACATGTGCACGATTTTTGCCGATGCGTCCTTGGAACCGATTCGGGATTTTGGGACAAGGGCGTACAAATGCATGTCTATTTCTATATTGTCACTTGTTCAGTCCGCACGCCAAGAAAGTTAGCACTCCAGCTGGCAGTTCAAATTGTCAGGTGCCATTTACATCATAGCAGATGAGAAAATTTAAAGCTCCCAGTATTTGGATTCGCCTGAAGGAGCCTTTAATCATTTTCTGTTTACTGGTCGGCCTTAACCAGAGTGAAAATTGGGCTGGGCGTAGTCTAACCCCTCCCCACCCCTACACACCCGCCTATACCCGTACGTACGTCGAAAGTGCTCATATTCACGACAGTAAGTTCCAGTTTCGATTAACATTTATTCAATAGAGTTTTCCTATAATTCTTTTGCTTTCTGAAAGAAAGTTTAGTTTCACATTTATATCTTTTTCGATATTTTGTCATTACATAAGAGTTTCAGTAATCATCACGACGTCATACAGTACGATTTGAATTATTTCCCTTACTGATATTCATATAGACTCGTATCTTGACTTGCATTATGCATAAATACATTCAATTATTTTAGGATTTTATTTAAGGTACATTTACTTGATAAAATTGCTTGTAAGAATCGTAGACACATAATTTTCGAAGGTAAAACGGTTTTAAAATTGGTAAATGCATTCAATTATTTTAGCATTCTATTTAAGATACATTTAGTAGATTAAATTGGTTGTAAGTAGTAAGAAGAGACGAATGAAGTCTGAGTGCCAATTTTCGAAGGTCCAATGGTTTTAAAATTGGTTTTAACACCAATCGATAGATCTTCGAGCGCAGATCAAAAGCTTCAAGGGCCTAGACCTTTGCAAAGTAAAGGTTGAGAAGTTCAAAGATCCAATGCCCCACCCCGTCGATGCAAACAGTTCAATGCACATGCTCGCCGCATTATTTGAAGCTTAAGAGGTTGCGAGCTGCTATAGGGTCGACTTCTTTCCTTAACGGGCCCCGTAACTTCTGAACTAGCCTAGAATATTATCAACCATACCCAATGACCTGGACAAGATATTACTACTTCCGCCAGGTAGTCTAGCCCCCTTTCATATACACCTTATCATGTAACGTGGATACAGCCATCCATTCTTAAACGTAATACAGTACTCGTCTTTATGTAGCTTCCCCATAGTTGCAATTGAATACAATTCATTATCATACCAACACTGTAATTTGTTAGAGCGCGGACATAATCACAGTAAACCAAAATCAGAATGCTTGCGCATTGGTGGTCTCAAAACCAATTTCTCACAATATACATACGATGCTTGTTTTTTAAATTGCATGTTTTTAGACGTGTACCTTTTGACCGCGAACTACTCATTCGATTTCGACGGTACAATCAATACAATGTCCTATCGCTCTTACAAAATGAAAATTTTTTCCCCTAATAGTCTGTGATTAGCAGCCACAGGCCGCGGACTGATTCTCTTCATTCTGTTCAGTAGATTGTTGTAAAGTGACTTTGATGATGTCGTCTTCGTATTGTCCCCATTCTGTAACCATGTCTTTCTCAGCAGGAAGTTCAGCGCCTATTTTCTTGTAAAGCTGTAAATATGCACAGAAGCACAAAAGAAGTATAGATGATGATCAGATGAGTGGGAGGAGAAGATGTTTAGACAATGTTTGGTAAAAATTTCATAGGATGTGATGCACCTTCCGATAGCCTGAAATAAAGTCGTGTATTTTTGACTCAAAATGGAAATATATCCTTTTGGTTTACTTATTTGAACAGCTGCGCACTTGAAGACGCATGGATAAGGAAACAACGTAAACAAAGAATCTTAATCTCAAGAGAATGACGAGTGGTCTGAAATGGGAAAACATTGCTCCTATGGTTAAGAGGTCTATAGATGGGGACTTTCTTTTGATGGATCAGCCTTGTATTCGGGAAGAGCGCAATGACAGATATATAAAATAGCATTGATATTGCGTTTCATACCGTACTGATCCATTAACCCTTATTACACGACTTTAAAAAGAAACAAATGTTTTCCGAGTGCAAAGTCGTTTGCATGATGGCATCATTTGACTTCCACTACCAGGATGCTTCAAAAAGTTTCTTTCTTATTCGAATTTGCATTTTCTCATGAGAATACTGAGTAAGACGAACGGTCAATTGAGTAAAAAAGAAAGTGTGCAAGGGATTGTGGTAGTTGTAGTAGATGACACCATAATGCAAGTATCCTATTCGATGCAATGAGGATTGACTGCTGCAGTGCCATAACCGTACTTACAGTAATATCAATACTGAATGCTATGCTTGTCTTGGTCAGTCTTCAAGGTGTATGCGTGCGCAAGGCAAGAGCCACTCCCACAAACTCAACCTCAAGCGCAAGTCTAATCGGGTCCACATAGTGGCGGGAACACATCAAGAGAATATGACATTGTAATTTATTTATACTGATGCATTAGCATAATCGTATTGTTTTATACTCAATAAGGTTATTTAACTTTGCTGTTGCATGAATCGTAAAAATAACAATTGGATCCTAACTTGATTTTCCTCCATAAACATCACACGGAATTTACTTTGCTAGAAAGAAACTATTCGCTTCCAGAGTTCAAAGAAAAAAAACTGATTAACAGCCAACGCCTTAATTTGGAACAGGCCGGTAGCAATGGCTTTGACAGCAAAGCGATGAGTTATTCCAATATTCAAAGAGACAAGCATGTGTGTCACTTCAACACCCTCTTTGTTATCAATACTAAATAGAAACAATAAAAACACTGGTATCAACCTTGCCTATAAAATAAAGTTTATGTTGATTTGATTGGTTGATCTTTAGCACTGATAAGAAATGATTTTTAAACGAATTTACATTTTTCCTCGCCAAGCATTGCAAATACTTCTGTCTGCATTGGAACATGAGTGATAGTATTACAAACTCTCATGATAAACACAACCGAATAACTACCATCATTTACATACAGGTAATAATCTATGCTGGGCATCATGTCCAGAATTAGTTATTCAAATATTAACAGAGTGCCTTCCACGAAAACCAAAATAACACTAGCCTTCTCTGCAGATGTCATTACTTTTGGTCCTGTGAGGATCTGGGATCAAAACTAATGACAGCTGCAGAGGAGACTAAAATCACACAGCCCTGCATGCAATTTCTATTTTTTATATTTCATAGGAGATGGTGGCTTGGTCTTTGCTTGTGGCACAGGGTTGGTAGAATGTTTGGGGAAGTAGTAGGGGTGATAGTCAGACTAAATCCATTAACAGAAGCACCCCCCTGTTTGTTGAGGGGGTTCCTGAGGGGTGTCCTTAAGTTTAACTTCTATCAGATCCTCTTTGTTTGTCTTGTCTGTAGTGCTTTCCATTCCAGGCAATGCAGCTGCCACTCTTCTGAAGAGCTACATATGAAAACAAAAAGTAAAATGGAGCCTACCATCAGAGATGCCAGAATACCTAATATCATTGTGATTATAATAGTACATTAGGCATTAGCAATTAAGTGGTTAAGTTATCAACTGATCATCAGTTCCTGAGACAAACACGAGTTGTACTGACTTATCAATGAATACTTCAGGGTTAAGGAATTAGCAAAAGTTGGTAGTGACAATATTTAATCATTCATATTTGCGAAATATTTTCAAGATCTTCCAATTTGTCAACGTAAGAAAAGAAATGGCAGAATGAAAGAAAACAAAATATGACAGCCTCCAAGATACTACATGCTTGCTGTTTGAACCCAAACAACTAGAGAACAATAAATGGCCACTCAGCATGAGTCTTTCAAGTAGCTCAGTGGTTCGAAAGAACATCCAATTAATATTTGGAAGGTCATTGGAATTGAAACCAAATTGAAAAAAAAAAATTTCTGAGTTCCTTTCAGCTAGTGACAAATGACAAATTAATTCCATATGATAATTCATAAATTTCAAACTCTGGTACAAGTAAATGGTATGTAGATAGAGGTCATCAATGAAAACTAGGCAATACACCGAGGAATAAATCATTCATTATAATACAGCTTGTGGGATTGATGATTGATTATGAGTGTTTTATTTCTATTCTATACATTTCAATACAAGAAATTTAAAAATTTTTGGGGGAAGGGTAGGATATAATGAAGATCTAAATTAAGCATGTGGCTAAAAAAGATTTGGTTTTCAGACACTTCTCAAAGGCGAGTGAAAAGATGGTTGTAAAAATGTTTAAAAAAAAGATTTTTGAACAGATGCCAGTTGATAACTAAACCACATAAATTATTTTAAAGCTTATGCATTAGGGTTAGAAAACAAAGGTTAGAGTTGGGCATTTATGAGATGTAGCAAACATACAATTATTAGCTTTTCCTCAATACTACAACAAAAAGATTAGCTTTACGTCTTTTAATAATGGTTAGCAAAGATAATATTGAGCAATGGAATATAACAATGAAAGGTAAATGCAAAAGCAGTATAATGAATTTGATGAAGATCCACATTCTCTAATGAGTATCTTGATCAAACCCAGTTATACTAATGTCTTCCATTAAACCTTTTAATAGTTCTATGCAATACTGCATAATATTATAAAGAATATATAAATAAAACCCACTATGAAATGTTTAACATTGTGAAAATATTAGTAAAAATACAAACTATTTTGATAAAAAATATATATATTGGTAACAGGAGGCACAGCCAAAAACCTATTGAATTTTAGTATATAAATTTCATGGGTAGCAAAGCCACTCAGAATGTAATTTTTTTGTATTTTACCACACAGGGCACAGTTATATGAAGGGTTAATGAAGCTATTTTAGGGATAAATCATTATCCAGTGGATAAGTCAATGCTGTTATCCAATAAATTTATCCATTGAATAAGATTTATCTGTCGCATTCTCTACACTTTATACAACAGTGCCCAGAGGCTTTTCCTTGCTTACAAATTTACACCAGTCTTTTGGGAGAATAGCAAAGAGGAGGCAAGGTTTTTCAGTGTCGTTCTTGTTCAAAAAAACCCTTGAAACATCTATTGATAGTTCAATAATTAGAAAAGAAAGAGAAGCAAAGATATAAAATAATTCTTTCATTTTTTCCCTTCACATATTCTTGGGGTGTAACCACATGACTTAAAATCCCTTGAGATATGAATAGCAATGAAACAACCACCATGTTGGTGATCCAACATGAAAAACTGATGAGGAATACTCTGTTATCGTCAACCAACACAATGAGTGTTTAAGAGAAATAAAGTAGATGTAGATGAAGGCTACGACTTAACACACACCCCAGGAATACAGGCTTAACAGTCATACCAAAATGCCTCATGATAGAAATAGGTAAGGGTTATCATGGGTTTTAGGAATTTACTGATGGTTAGTGCAAAATTCAAAATTTAGTCTACAGTATATTTGTCAAAATTTTATATTTTTCATGTTAATAATTTACAGTAGACTTTAAAATTTAGATTTTATAACTTTTTGAAAATAAAATGTATATCAAAACAATAAAATTAATTTTTAATAATGATTTCAGGAAAAAAATATTTTTAATAATTTGCTGCATTAAATTTGATTTAATTCATAATTCAATTTAATCTTCCTATTGCTTTAGTATTATTAAACATATTTTTCACAATGTTTTACATTTATCGTTATGGTATTAGTAGGCCCATTTAATAGCAAAAACAAAAATTATAAAATTATTCAACAAAAATAATCCCACATTTTATTTATTTATTTTCCCATTATTCCTTTAGAATTTTATGACAAAGATTATTATAATGAAAATGAAACAAAAGTTGGCATCTCTGATAAAATCAAAATAATGTGCAGATCATTCAGAGGTTGAGCGGCAAGTCTGTTTCTTCTGGTTTGTGAAATGTGTATATATTGTATTGTACTGTAGTTCATTTCAGAGGAGAATTGTGCATGTGCAATAGTGTCTATTGTGTTTGGGTCAAACTCCAAGAGGTCAGCAGAGCATCAGAGAGCCATTACTTGGTGCAGCACAAACTTGTTTATACTTGCTAGTTTTTGTTTGTATCAAGGGGCAAAGGTCATTTTATATAGTGCTTATTTACTGTATTACCACTGTTTTCATTGCTACATTCTGATTGATACAGCAGTTGCAACAGGGAAATTGGGCAATAGATTACCGTCAGTCAAATAAATCCTTAGAGTAGTTTCTCATGTACCTTCTCATGGTTCCCTCGTACCTTTGTGTGCTCTAGCTATTAATTTGATTGACCGCAGTGGTTTACAGTCATCATGCCCCCTTCCCATCGAGCCCCATCCATTATGCTCCTTCTCCATCTAGGGAGGAGGGGGCCAGATTGGGAGGGGCATGATGACCAGTTACCAACCCAGAGTATTGCCCAAATTCAATGTCAGGGCTGTTGTCTCAATCAGCACACAAGTGAATCGCACATTTTCTTTGTCAAAGTGATAAACAAAAAGGGATAGGAGAAAGATTTAGCAGTGTTTTCACATAGCAACATGGTTCTTCTTCCATTGAATAAACTGGAATGTAGAAATGTTAATATTGCAGAGGAAGGAATGAGATGTGCCAGGAGAGGGATTTAAGCTGAGTAATTCCACAGTTGGCTCTCCTTTCAGTAAATTGGAGTGGAATTCTTAAAATGTCAATTTTTGCCTAGGGAGGATGAAGGAAAACCAGAAATTGAGTTCCATTCAAATCCCTATGGCTCATTAGTCACTGCAACTTGTGCTTTCTTAAGTATTCATGCATTACAGTACATTCATAATTAATTTTAATTCCATTTTATGGATATTTAAAAAGATTGCAGATTTTTTTTTTGGCTAATTCAATTGAAAAGTCACAAAACACATGCAGAGTATGCTAGTGAGTAAACTAGAGTGATGGAAAGTAAAGAATCTAATAAAAAACCAATGAAATGCCTGATATATTGCAACTATCAACATGCTAGAATTGGCAAGGTAAGAAGACGTTTTAAATGCTCTTTAGTGCTGGTGCATTTCGCACAGTCATGGCAAACAGCATAGCAAGGGAACAGTCGTAAATGTTGTTTCCATGGAACCAATCACAGAATGAGATATTAATTACTTCTCATCCAATGAGAGAATGCCTTGACATTATAATGGCTTAATAGATGCTGTACCACATGTTTTTCACAACTACTGTATATAAAAATGATCCACTCCATTACATTCACTTTCAAGCATTATTAGTTAATCACACATTTAACCAGAAAGTTACAGCTTGCAAATAGAACTTCATTCAATCATTCTATAGACTGGTTTCTCAAGGTTATGTGCATATCCAATTTTAAGGAACTTGACCAGCCACGATACTAGAACACGAGTATTAGCATGCATTTTTTTTTGATAAGGACTCATAAGATCGATTATTCTCCTCTTTAAATATAAAACTGTCTTCTGAATTTTACTGAATTTTCCTTATTCTAGTTTTGTGGCACGTCAAGTTGGATACGCACGCAACCTTGAGAAAACGGTTTATTGATGGTTGTGGTGTGGTGCAGTCTGTTAATAGTAAATTATTATTAGTTGGTGCATAGGAACAATGATTAGAACATCTATAACTGTTACTCCAGTGCCAAAATTATTGCAGTCAATATTACATGAACTGCGTAGTTGTGAGCTACATGTTAAAATTTTGTTTATTACTAGCTGCTGTCAATCAAAAATAATCAGTACTTTATATTTTTGACTGGCGGCATTTGAAAACCAAATTGGCAACTGGTAACTAATGTCAGAGTTTGCAAATAATTGCAACAAATTTTTAAATAAAAAGATTATTATTATTATTACTGCCAGAGATTGCATAATATTGGAAATTGCTGCAGACAATTAAAATAGCTGTAATATATCCCCCCCCCCCCCCCCCCCCAAATCAGGTTTGATATACACATCATAACATTAGCATGAGATTATGCTGTACACATATCATGACTTCTATCCCAAGACTTACCTTGAGGCATACAGAATATGATCAGGTCCATAATTATGAATCAATAACTAATAAATAAATAGAAAAACAATCCTGATTGTTTCTTACCTGCTTGACATTGTAACCTGCTTTAGCACTAGTTTCTATAAACATCACATTTAATTCTTTTGCTTTTCGTTCCCCTTCCTCTGTCGTTACTTGTCTACCAAGAGAAAAGAAAAATATATACATGTATATAATAAGAATACTGTAGCAATATCTAGTAAAAAACGAATAGTCAAATTAATGATCAAGTCTGGGAAAGCTGAACAAGAGTCCAAAATTTGACAATAACCTTTTGAGATGAGAGCATAGTTTAACTGTATGATTGCAAGGCTTGAGAATGATATAATATATAAGAAATAAGAAAAAGATATAACAAATAAATACAATCATCATCATCATCATCATTATAAGATTAAATTGCTTAATTGTGAGGGTTTATTTTGTCTTCATGTAGATGCCATCTCCTACATAAAAATTGTCATTAAAATTATAATAAAAATAAAAACTTCTGACTTGATCATTTACCTTTTATCTGAAAGATCTGTTTTGTTCCCAACTAGCATAATGATTACATCATTCCCTCTTTCTGTTCTCACGTCATCTATCCATTTAGATGTTTGTTGAAAAGAATTGTAATCTATAATAAAGCAAAAGAAAGTATTTTAATATACATGCATATTTACAAAAAGTAAATGAATACAGCAATGGATAATCTCCAGAAATACAGCTGCAAGTCTCTGAATATTTCTATAAGTCTCCTAAAACAGAGGCTGTGACTCTTTTTTTTTCTGCAGTCTTTGTAAGTATTTGAAAACCATTGAATTTGAAGCTATTGTTTAATCGAGATCCAATAACAATATTGCCACAGCAATTCAATGCCATATGACAAAAGGGACTTTTTACAGTAGATACTTAAAGGCTCTTGGGTGTTCTACTGTAACCTCCTCCCTCCTCCATTCTCATAATGAAGATTTTGCTTTGGTTTAAATTCATACCACTCCCCACTTCCATCACACACACCCTCTTATGGAGCAGTTTTCTTATGGTAGGACATGCCATAACATTGTATTAGTTTTCCATTGTTTTCCAGTTATTCATCCAATAAAGACATATTGTTACTGCTATGGTAAGAAAATCTACAGCTAAAGTAGTCAAAGTACAGCTACAAATTTGCTATCATTTTTCAGTCATTTGAAAACTGAGCTCTCTATAAAGCAATGTGATACATTTTTCCACTAATAAAAAATATGACCATACTCACTGGTGATGTCATAGACTACTACAGCTACGCTAGAATCACGGATATAGCTTGGTATTAGACTACGGAATCGTTCTTGCCCTGCAGTATCCCATAACTGTAATCTGACCTAAAAACGGCACCATACTTATCATTATGTGAACTATATACAAGACTAACTGGAATGCAAGATTTTCCATTTCAGATTTTCCATTAAATATAGGATACAATCATGAATGGATACATGGGCAACGTAGGGAATTGCCAAAATTCAACAAATCTCTAAAACCTAGAAGAGTAAAGTTTAAATGATTGAAATACTTACTGTTCTGTCTTCAAGGTACATTGTTTTGGACAAAAAGTCTATTCCAATTGTCGCCTGAAAAAAAGGAAAAGGAATGTGATGAATGGTGATAACTTTCTCATTGCATCTAAAATAATAATATAATACGAAAATACAGAAAATGAATTTTAAAGTCATGAATGAAGATAATACAGTATTTATTATCACCTATCCTAAGATCAAGATTAATTTGACACTTCAGAAAGATCAAGATCAACCAATATATGTGGATAGATATACACACTACATTCCTTTACATTCAAGACACTATCACTTGCAAATATGTCAAAAAGCACAAAAAAAAGCGTGTAGGAATAGATATTATAGTTAAATATACCAATAACTGCGAAAGTATAAGACAGAGCACTTCAGAAATACAAAATATTCCCAGATTTTATGAAAAATATGAAATAAAGTAAATTTGAGACCTTGTCCCTTACTCGATCAAGATACACGTATGTCGAAATCTTACAAATCATAGAATATTTCAATAAATTATAGGTAGCAATTGATATTTATAAAGAATAACAAACTCATTTCTTAGACCAGCAGCTTTATAAATAATCAATGATTAAAAGTGTAGACAAGATCGATCACTGGAGAATCTTTAGAAATACGAAATGTTATAATATTACTCGTAACTTGTGACATTTTACAAATGATAAGTATTTTTAGATATTTGCAGACTAAAGATTTTAAGTATTAATCTAATGGATTGAACTACTCTTTAAGAAAATAAGGCCTAGTAAAAGCCAAATCTTCAAAGGAAGAGAGTACATATTTTGAAAACAATCCAAGCTTAATTTCACAGCCCAGAAAAATAATTCTCAGTGTCTGTGTAAGCTTGCATTTTAGCAATTCAAAGACATGGAATCTCTTACCTGATAAGTGTTATCGAAGCTGTCATACATAAACCTAGTTATAAGAGAGGTTTTTCCAACTATAAAGAAAGAAAGATCAAAAATCAAACACCAAAAACACAAGAGAAACACCGGGTGATATTCGTTGATCAACACCAAAACTCTCCACCATTTTCGTACATACCACTTTGCTCGCCTAAAAAGACAAGCTTAAACTTTCGCAGTGGATTTCCAAAGTCCGAAGACATTGTTAAATATAGGAGTGTTAAACAGGGCCGTGTTCATACAATAAAGGCGGTATTTTTGGGCATAAAGTAAGAATCTCCTTTGGAAACCGGGAACAACCAAGCCACGTCAAAATGGGATACGCTGACTACGCGTGCGCAGTATTGATCTCTTAAAGTGACGTCACATATCTAGGGTTGGTTTGAATGAGAAGGATTTCCTGTCCATAGTTCAGGCCAAAACATTGAAATATTAAATTTGAATTGCAGTTTTTCTTGGTGAACATCATTTGCGCGTTTTAAAGCAGATATTTTCCTCGTATATCAGTTGTTAAAGGGGAATGCGATGACATCATTTTGGAAGGGCCTCAGTAACCCAGACTAGGGTGCACACGATAGCTGGTATGGGCCCTACACCCATTGAATGATACATGATCTGGTTAAACCTTTTTTTATTGACAAAGTTAGCCCTCAAAATTTTAACTGTTTGTACTACATTTTTATATTATTATATAATTTTCTATAATGTTATCTAGTTTTATACAGGCTTGTTGTTTGTAAAAAAATTTAAAGTCTTTGCTAATACTAAACTTGTGCTCAGAAGTGCATAATCAAACATAATTGCCTAACTCCAACGACATAAGCATCCCAGTTATTTTATGAGGTCGGGATAAGGGCTGGGGTGGGGATTAAAAAACAAATGTACTAAATTTACATTTATGAAGGTGGAGTTTGAAGACCCCTGGAAGCCCTTCCTACAGCTTGTACAAGAATTATGTAACTATGGCAGAGACACTGATGCAGCACAGTAGTAACGTCCATGTTCGTCATATTTCCCCCTCTCAGAGATATGGATTTCTTTCAAGTGATATTGTCCAAAATTGATGTCTTCAAAAACCTTTGGAAAAAAGGAAAAAGAATTACGTAATTTACTAGTATGGAGGTTTTGCAACATCACATGCCCACGCCCATGATACAGCTTGGGCTGCCTGTGGTTAGATGGCAGAACTATAAAATCCCTTTACTCTTGGGAACTGAATTATGTCTCATGTAAAATATTTGTTGTGTTTTGTGCCACACAACATGGCTGCTGTCAAGTGGTGGTGCAAAACCTCTATTTTCTAGACACCTGGTCTGCTCTGTCTGTCTCTAAATACCAATGACAGGCTCCCTGTGGCTTTATTAATCAAGTTAAAACAGGAATCCCAGCCACTATTGCATGTTTATAGGCTTTCTTGTCTAGCATGTTGTCTATCATAGTTATACAAACTTCTAGTATAAAAAGTAAATTTATATGAATTATGGAATCTTTACCTGTAGGATTTCCCTTGCGTCAAATGCATACTTCCTTCGCATTTTGTTAAACTCATAATTCTTACGTCCATTATTCCGCCTAGCAATCTCTTCCAAGTCTGAGTGCATTGAACTGTTCATTACTGTTGCATGTAGTTTTACTTTGTCATATTCATGCTGCATGATGCCATGATCAACAAACCTTTGGACTATAGAATCTGCAAGGTGCTGAAGTCTAAAAAAAAGGGATATTCTTAATTGTCTAGTAATCTTTTATAACTGTTTCTCTAATTCATTTTATGAAATACAAATGAATTTATCTTTTAGTAGGAAGATCTTTGCAACTAGTTAATGTAAAGACTAAATGTGGATTAATACTAATAAAGCTGCATAAAGATCATGCAGGGACCAGTCCTACAAGGTGTCCACTATTTATTTACCTTTGTTTACCATCCAATTCATTCACTCTAGCATAAAGGACGGAGACTGATGATGGGTCATCATTCATTATCTCAAGGCCTTCAAGCTTTATGGATATAGGTTTGTCATGCAGGCATTCTCTGCAGGAATAAAATGATCACATTTTAAAAATCAATAAATTAAACATAATAACTAGCTAAAAACTAGTGTGAGCTGCGTCGGTGTTTCTAATGAAACAGTAATGATAAAAGGGTAAATCTTACACCGTGAAAAGATGAAAAAACTTACTGACATTTCGGACGCTAGTCCTTCATCTAGTGTCCAAAACGTCAGTAAGTATTTTTATCTTTTCAAGGTATAAAATTTACTGTTATCATTAATGAATTAAACATCTCAGTGGTGAAGAAATTAAAGAAGAATAAAGGACGGGTCTCTTGTTTTATTCAATATTAATTTAAAAGGAAGGACTACTTAGATAGATATATATGTTTATTAAGAAAGAACACCTTGCAGCTAAAAAGCTGAATTGACTGTAATATGTTTTACTCTGTGTAGACTAAAGTCATGTGGCCTTCATAAATTTTAACATGATAAATTCTTGGCAGTAGAAGGTTAGTAAGGCTAGCCTAAGTATCAGGCTCTCTCCGTCTCAGAAAGCCCAAGCCCCCCCCCAAACGCCCCAGAAGGCCTTATACTCAGGCTATAGTAAGGCTTGTGTCCTGGACTATTTAATGAAGTTATTAATTTGATTTTATACTAGCATATATACTATGCTTCTAATCACCTTATGAGGTCTTTATAACAACTGGACAAAAACTGTGCTGCATTATCCTGAAACAAAAAAAAACATTTTCAGCTTGTATTAAAAAGTGCTTGAATACGCGTTGCCATAGAACTAGGTGGTAAGCCGTGGTTAAGTTAATTGCCATGGTTACCTCAAGGGAAAAGCATGGTAAGGCAGCAATATGAGTTGTTTTTTTTTTTAAATGGCTTAGAAAAGTACACTTGGCAGAAGGAGATCAAGGATGTTTTTTAGGGGGAGGTACACCATTTATGATCAGGATGTTCACAAACTCAAGCACCAAGTATAATACAGTACGTAGGCACAGGAAATCTGTAATAATGATTAATAGAATAGGTAATAGAACTTTGATAAGATAAGTAAAAAACCCTGTTAGTCAGCATACATACAACTTTACATACAACTTTATTTGTTTCAGCAGGTCTAAAAACTGGAAGCTATATAGCTGATGTGGACCTGCTAAAGCATGTTGAGTAGTTCTCCATAACAAGATGGTTAGTAAATCTGAGTGGGGTGCGCACTCCTCCCGTTTTTCCTTAAATCTGACCCTGCTTGACCCTCATGAAATTATTATCTGACCATTTTATTCAACAATATTATTCTATGATAGGTTTATTAATATGAATAATTAGAGCGCAGTGTTTTAGAGCAAATAGTGGCCAGGAAAAAATTTACCAAAAAGTAACCTGGAATATAAACAACCAGAATAAAGCACCTGGTAAAACATTTTGACTCCTCGAATCACCTCTCTAAATCATATTGAAAAATTTTATTACCACTTCTTCTTGATTCAGTAACACCAACATGCCAATTGTCAGGTGTAACTTGCATGGCTTCTGAAAAATGCTTGGATGGATACCTTGAGTCTAAAAGAATATAAAAAATTGTAGTAAACTGCATTGTTCTTGGGTCTCTGTCATTGGTCAATGCTGGTCAAATGCTGCGCTTGGCTATGTTTTTTAGTTTAATTTTTATTACAGCCTAATAATTCATTAATAGCTAATTACCTTTGTATGTAAATTGCACATTTCAAACCATGTGATGTTTACATGATGTTCTCTGAAGAAATGTTTCTTTCAATTTATGTTTTCATATCCACATGAATATAAACGAATAAATTTCAGAAAGATAAAGGAACAATTTTCTAGAGAACATCATGTAAACATCACATGGTTTGCAATGTGGTATTTACATACAAAGGTAATTAGGTTTATTATAACACTTTATCATTATTTACTAGTTTGGAAATGGAACGTATAATTTACCTGAGAAAACTTCTGTAGGACACTCTCCTTAAACTCTTCAGCTTTTGTAGCAAGCTCATCAAAGTAAAGAGGAAATGACAAGAAATGAGTAAATGAACACTTCTGTCTAGAAGACTCTGCTATCACTTCCACTTGTCTTCTTGCTGACAAGACTCCAGATCTGCTGGGTCCAGTAATGACTAGAACCATTTGACAAAGACCCGAGAGAGAATAGATTAGAATAATATGTATGCATAGACAGATGGATGGATGTATGTATAGACATATGGACAGATGGATGGATGGATGGATGGACAGATGGATGGATGGATGGATGGACAGATGGATGGATGGATGGACGGATGGATGGAGGGATGGATGGATGGACAAATAGATGAATGGATGGACAGACAGATGGATGGATTGACAGATGGACAGATAGATGGATGAATGAATAAATGAAATTTATGGATAAATGAATGAATGAAATTTATACAAAATGAAACATGTCCACAATCTTAGTCACATTTTCATTGCATAACTGTACATACGACTCTTCCCTTTAAATAAATCAACCAACAAATACCTATGTCTCCAGCTTGTCCCTGGCTAGGAATAAATAACCTAGTATCAGTTTCCATTTCAATTTTCTTCTTAGTTTCTGCTTTTCTACCAATAACAAACTTAAACAAAGCACTTGGTGTGTCCATCACTGTCCTAAAACCACTCTTGGTCTCTTCAACCACATCACTAGCATCACATGTCTCATCTTCATAATTCATTTCGTCTGAAATAAAGGAGTAAAATAAGTAAACAACAAATAATTATTTGTGTTGTTCAAGATCAATGACAAATTTCTGATGGTTTTGCATACTAAGTCCTCTTGTTTTCTATATTATGACCTCAACAGTTGGACAAAATATTCACATCATGGTAAATAAGAAGACAAATCACAAAACAATATCGGAACATTTTAAAACGAATGCTTTTTTGTAATTTTTTTCCTAGCTTGCACTGGAGTCCACATGCAAGTCATTTGTAATTTGTTGGTGTAATTTGCTGGTATGTCTTCGGCCAATCAGAAAGTGTAAAAAAATGGTAATGTTACTAGTATGTACGAGTTATTTACCTATTCCCAGTTACACAACTAGCCCAAATACAAACATTGACATGACAATCGAATATGAAATATGGTCTTGCACATGTAAATTCTGTACCTATCAGATCACGTTTCATATTAATAATTTGGGTTCCCTGTGGTAAACTCTCGGTCGATAATTAAGACAAAAAAAACGTATAAATTTTAAACTCTAAATACGAATAGCTTATTTCATCCTGTATTATAGGCTACGAAATCTCTAAAACTGTACCTTGTTCGTAGTAAGGCGTCGAATTTTCATTGGTTTCACTGCTGTTTTGTTCAAAGGGAAGCTTTCTGTAGCAACGTCCCTTAATCCAAACGACTGGGGGTCGAAGGACGTCCATCTAAGGAAAATATCAATTCCTATAAGATCCTCTCTCCATCAAAGAAGGAAATGAAGCTTAAATTACTAAGGAAGGATACATAAAGTCGTCAACCTTTCAACCGCGGCTCCCCTACTAACGGGAAAAACACCGACGAATCGACGATTACCCTCGGCAAACCTTCGGTGACTACTCGGACACTCGGCCATCGATTACAAAAGCGCAAGTTACGGAAGTAAATTTTTGAATCGTATAATAGTGATTCAAGTGATATATGACTTATCCAAAGTTTCAGTTCAATTTGATGTAATCCGAATGAGCTAGAACGTTTTAAAGAAGCTGTTAATTTTGAATGTGGACAAAAAGGAATTTTTTCACTTTTTCTAAGACTATATTGCTTAATAATATGCATTTAAAAATCTTATCTGAATACGATGGGGTTCGAACCTTCCAACAGAAAATTAAAAACACAACTAAAAAAACAAAAACAAAAAAAGAAACACAAAAAATCGATTCTAATTTGCCATACCCCCGAGACATCCGCAGAGCTGAGGCGTCGTATGGACTTCGGACCTGACGGCGATTAAATCCTTCTGCCCTTGGGTGTACGAATTATGCAAGAAAATGTTCTAGCCGAAGCATCAGGGGAGAGACCAGCCGGCCCCCAGACCATATCGGCTAATCCCTTGCATCTCTGCCACGCACGGAATCGGTTGAAAATATAATGTTAAAAAGTCTAGTCTATCTAGTGCATTGTTTTGACGGCCATTGTTATGCTGATTGACCTGGACGGCTTGGTCCAGCGGAAAAAACTTAGGCTCTGAGTCAAGTCCGGTTGAGCGAAGTTGGTTCCTGGATGGGTGACCTGAAGCTTGTGCCTACTACAAACGTCTTTGCAAATTTTTTATAACTTTTGATTACTTTCGAGTTCTCTAGGCCATTTTGGTTGAAAAATAGTCGTAAACTAAAAACTGCCGGGCATTTAATCCGTGATCGGCAGTCTGCTCAGCACAAAACGAATTCGAACGACTCTCTTAGTGGTACTTAGAAAAATTGCTCATGATTTCAAAGTCGACACACATTTCAAGCTTGTCTATAGAACTCAGTCCCAATCGCGGGCAAACACCACATGCAGCAACTCCGYATCTAAACTGAGGCAGCGACTCTCTTTTCTTATTTGCAGCAATTCAACCTGWTTTTTATTTGCAGACACACTTCTAAAATGTAGCAACTCATTTTTTATTTGTATCAACTAAAACTAATTTAAAAATCGATTTAAAGCAAGTTTGCAATTGTAGACAAACTTTCGACCGTTCTTCTCAACTGAGTCAATGACGTGTTGACTTTCCTCGGCGCAGAATACGAAAGACTCTCTTAATGGCACTTTGAAATTTTTCTCATGATTACTGACTGACGGGCACTGATTAAATGCCAGTTCTTAATCCTCGCCGATTTTTCAGGAAAACGAATTATTATTGATTTAAAGTATATTCTACTTYCGTAGAGAAACTTCGAGCAAATCAAGTTGATCGAACTTACTGGCGTAAAGAGCGTAGCCTCAGAAATGATCAGTGGGTTCTCTGCTCACTCTCTTATCTCTACCTATACTGGTTCATTGATGAGCCACCTCAGAGAAGGATGACATTAATGAGTCACATCAGAGAGAAGGATGACATCAATGAACCACCTCAGGAAGAAGGATGTCAATAGAGAGTTTTAGATTGACTTTTTTTCTCCCCGCAAACGGCAAACGTGACCACGTTTTCATCGTTTTCCTGTACTTTACTTTACCTTTTAAAAACCTTCTCACCAAAAGTAAATAYTCTTTTGTTTTTCTGTTACTTGGACTTTTTTGCGATTCTTTTTAAGCTATTTAAAATAATTTTTATATGCTCAACTGACGTTTCACGTTTGCCGTGAACGTAAATCTAAAACTCTCTATTAATGAACCACCTCAGGGAGAAGGATGACATTAATGAACCACCTCAGGGAGAAGGATG